ATAATAGAACTTAACAAAAAAAGGGGATGCAGATGAATGTCCATTTTTTATCTGTGTATTCAAAATGGTTAGGATAGATATATAGTTACATTCTCTTAATGAATAGAGGGATTTGTTCTAATAGTGTTTGTAAAAAGGATATCATGTCCGCATCTTGTACAGCAATTAAACCTCTAGGAAGAATGTATAAAATGTGTTGATTATTGAAATTGTCCTACCAATTTGATTTGAAACTGTCTCATTGCTATTTGTTTCTCAATAAAATTATGGAAAAAAATAAAAATTAAAAATAAAAATCCTGTCAGTTCCACTTTTGCAATGTGTTTTGATCCTATGACTACCACTGTTACTATAGTGCAAGGCATTCTAGCCTAACTTTCTAGACCAAGCATCTAACTTTTCCCATTTCTCTTCCTTGATCCCAGTTTACTCATAACATTATTTAGGAGATGCTATTTCTCTTCTGGAATTAGGAGTTTTACAACCTAATCATACAATGGAAATTAGAATACTGAGATTACCTAATGGTAGGCCTAAGAATGTTGATGCATAATTTAACTTACACCCTCAATCAAAAGTATAGTCTAGATTATGATGACATAATAAAAATATCCCAGTGTGCAAGCACTTTAAAACAGCAAAGGATTCCTTCATTTTCTAACCAAGTGAATTAGAGTTGCTGGAGTATGCTCTGAGTCATCTTGGTGCTGTCCAGATCTCTCTAGCTCCTGCCAATGAGGGAAAGAGAGCTCCAGCCAAACACATCATATGTGACCAGAGCTAGTCACATAGTCAGGTATAAATCAAAGTGGGCACAGGGCAGTGTAATATTCCTATGTGTTTAAGACAGAGAACCAAGAATACTTGGTGAAAAGCACTAATTACTGACTTGCCCTTACATTTTACAGATGAAGAGTTTTGGACATAGAGCACTTAAGTTCCTTGTACTGTAGCAAAGCTGTCTTAAGTCTCAGCCAGGACGAAAGCTGAGTGTTGGCTTCACTGTCCAGTGCTTTTTCTAACAGTGAACCAGGACCTGCTTATTCTGCATCCCAGTTAAAAGCACATTTCAAAGTCTCAGTCTTCCTGTTTTATTTGTTTAAGTAATATAAACTTCTCGAGCTGAAATACTTTTGAACATTTGCCAAAAACTAGAAAGCCCAGAGGGATTCAAAATGTTATTCTTCTTGCTTTGCTGATGTTCTCGCAAGACGCCCACTCAAAATCTCCCCAAGCTATTTCCATTTCCAGCAGAACTAGATCACAGTTTATGCTGGAGATTATAAACACACTGGCTTATGGAAGGTCAAAGATACAAACAAGCACAGGAACAAGAAATCTAGGTGTGAACTGTGTGCAGCTGCTGAATCCACTGGAGCCGTGTCCGCAGGAAGAACTTTCACCATGGCAGAGAGAAGGGGAGCAAGCTTCACCCACAGGGAAGGAGTCTAAAAGTGGCTGGTGCTGGTGTTTGTGCAGTAGCGTCTGGTGTAAGGAACCCTGGGTCCTCAGTTGTTCTCACAGACACAGGATGGTGGTGACTGCTCCGGGCATTACACCTAGAGTCTGATCCAGAGCTGAAGGGAGAAGGCTGAAGCCACCTGTGCCTGCCCATTTTGTTAGAGCAGCAAGAACCTTCCCAGAAACAGTGCCCTGCCCCTCATCATAGCAGACTGTCACCAAGGCCCCATCTGCCAGGACTGAGATGACACAGCCTCCTTCTCCTGAAAGGAAGGCGGGAAGGAGAGGAAAGAAAGTTAGCATGGGTGGGCGAGCCCAACACTGTGTTGAACAAAAGAAGGGTTCAGGTATCAGGGAAAGCCATGGGGGTGGGAGCAGGAATGGAGACTGAGAAAGAACTGACAGTGTCTGCCCCATTCATTGAAGAAAAATGATACCGGGGACTCTCCATATTAAAGTTTATATAGAAACTATTGTGAATAAAGAAAATACACATTCACCACTGAAATCACTGTTGTTACACTATGTGTGGTCACAACTGGTAAAATTAAAAATATAATAAAGCTACTTGAATATGACCTGCTCTGATTTTTAAAAACTTATTGTTATTATTATTATTATTATTATTATTATTATTTTGTGCAAGGTCTCACTACGTAGCTCAGATTTGTAGTGATCCTCCTGTTTTCTGTCTCCCTAGCGTTGGGATTACAGGCATGCGCCAGCACACCTGGATTACATTGCTAGCTCACCATGCCCAGAGGCAGGGCCAGGGCACCATGTGGTGCCAGGGATCCAACCCTGGCCCCTGCACTTACCTAAGCAAGCACTTAGTAGGCTGAGCTATCTTGCTGGCCCTGATCTGCTTTTATATTTGTTTTATTAAATACAACTTTGTTTCTTTGACTTTTTTTTTTTTTCGCAGAACTGGGGATTGAACTCAGGTCTTTGTGCTTGTCAGGCAAGTGTACAACTTAGTTTCAAAAAGAATGGTCCATAGAAGGACTGTCTGAGCACAGCACAGCTTCACGTCTGCTCGAAACACTAGGCCAATACAGAAAAGTACATCCGGACAAGGTGATCAAACACCAACAGGCCGCTCTCACACACGTGCCCTTGACACATCTCCAGGGACCTCAGCTGTCTGTGTTGGGAGCCACACCCACCCACACCCACCCATCTGGAGCAACATGTTTCTCTGATCCTCAATGAAGCTTCTTCTCCCCTTTCACAACGATTTGCTGCCACAAGGAAACACCAGGATCCCTCAGGTCAGATTTGCAGCATGTCTGAGCTTCTTACACATTAAACCATGGTAACTGGCTTCTGCCTGATTTTATTAGGTTTCTGTTTGGGTTTTGATGGGCCATTGAAAAAGTGTCCTATACTCATGCCTTAACTTCCTATTTCCAATAAATCTGAGATTTAAAATGCAAAATGTTACAGTGGCACCATATCTAAATTCTGGTACAAATACATAAGCAGAGTTATACCACCATCTGGTGAAATAGTGTAGCTCTGGTGAATACTTTACCAGTACCATATGAATCACCAGGCGTGTGTGTGTGTGTGTGTGTGTGTGTGTGTGTGTGTGTGTGTGCATGTGTGTGATGTAATATTACAAAACAATTGAGACATTTTTAGCATAAATGTTAAAAACTTGTTTTATGCCTCAGAGGACTGTGCACCTTAAAAGTATTTATTAAATGTACTCAGGATGGCTTGTTAAAAATAGTCCATCAATTACATGAAATAAAAGCCATTCATTATCCCAAGCTATATATAGACGTCTATATAGAGATTTGTCATTTATGTTTAAGACAATTATGAAAATTACATTCAGCTCACACATCTTGAATTTGGAAAACTGCATTTATATCTTTTTCCTCATTTTTAAGTCTTGTCTGATGGGAGTGCAGAAGGTGCTGAATGGGCAGCACACAGCTGGGCTTCGGCGGGCACCCGGTAACAGAAGAGCATCTCCCTTCCTCTCTACGAGCCCTCTTTTCCTTCAGCAGGGTTTACAAACCCCTTAGCTCCTTCCCAGAGCTTCTGAGGACCTGGGGAGATCTCAGCAAATACCAGCAAGAACAATCTCAGGAGATCAGTGCAAGGTCCTAGCCCACCCTTGCCCTGTCCTTTATACTTTTTAAGGACCTCTACAGTTTCAACATTTTAAGAATTATTTTTCCAGAGTGAGCTGTCCTTCCTAGCCCTCCCTGGTGAGATATGCAGGAAGAAATTGCAAAGAAATCAAACCGTAGCTCAGCACTTACTTTCCTAAGGACCAAGACACAAAAGGACAGGTCTGGGATCAGGAAAGGACTGGAGAAACCCCAGAAGCCTTGGCACCGCAGGGGCATTTCCTGTGTCCACGCTGTGCCAGATGTGAGCTGAGATGTGATCTCAGTGTGAACAAACTATTATCTTCTTAGGCGCGTGGATCAAGCTTTGGCAAGAGTGTTTTTTAATTAAAACTTTCTGTTCTGTGTTTAAGGACAGAAGCATTACTTGCTAAATGCACACCATGAAAATGGAAAATGCTCGTTTCCAAAGTTCAGTTGCTGATGCAAATTCAGATAACCACGCGCTGCCCTGGCTCCTGGCAGTGACTGCAGCCAAAGCAGCACACAAGCTGCAGCGAGGCTCCAGGCAGAAACCACAGCGTGGTGTCCCGGCTCCCCTGGACACACCTCTAGGCACACACTGCCCCTAAACTGCAGGTTGTGTTAACATTGTTTCCTCATCTTCCTGCCCCACCCGTCCCTCCCTCCCCCAAGCCCCAACCCTTGCCCCACACAATGGGATTTTTGTTTACTTCGGTAGCATGTGACAGCGCAGTTCCTGCTTTGCCTAGCTCTGGGCTGCAGGTCTCTCAGGTAACAGGTGGAAGCTTCCCCTGTTGGATTCTAGGCATGAGACAGTGACCTCATAGGGGTGGAGCTCTGGGACTCTGCAGAGGTGGCAGCTACAGCCAGGTAGCCTGGAGAGAGGCTGTGGGTCCTCTCCTCACTCCTAGTGACTTCAGCCTGACCCAAGCTACCTTGCTGCTCTGCCTTGTCTGCAAACCTCTGAAGCCCATCTGTGCTTCAATGGAGCCCAAAGACCCCTCTGGGAAAGAGAACTCGGGCACCAAGAAAAAGAACCTGACCTTCTTGCGGTCCAGACTGTACATGCTGGAGAGGAGGAAGACCGACACCATGGTGGAGGGCGGTGTCTCTGGAGACCACTCTGGGGCCCTGCGGAGGAGCCAGTCGGACAGGACCGAGTACAGCCAGAAGTTACAAGGTAACCCCTAGAAGCCAGCTGCCCCAAGCCACTGCGTCGTCGCTGCTGGTCTCCCGCTGCAAGGAGCACACTGGTGGCAGAGGAGGAAATCCAGCACCACCGCCCCCCGCAGAAGGGGCAGGTGAAAGTAAACACTGCTCACTAATGACAGGGAAAGTTGTGTTCTGAGATGGGGAAAGAGAGACTGCTGAATTATGCTTCGTGTCACTGTGTGTGTGTGCGCGCGTGCACACACATGTGTGCACCCAGCACACAATGTATAATCCTGTCTTTCTCTTTTCTTCACCCCCAAATGACGAAATCAAAATCATTAGAAAGGAAGTGTCTTAGAAACCCACAAAAGCCAGTTTGTCTTAGTAGGTAGCTCTTGTGATGTCAAGTCACACCATGAGATCTAGCAAGGTAATCGAACTGTAATTGTTGTTATTTTAAATGCGGACATAGAACTCCAATCACATTTGTGAAAAATAGCTAACATTACAGTCAGCAGGATGGTGGAATAGGATTTTCTGAAAATCACTGAGGCAATCATGTCACCCAACTATGGGAAGAGATGTTCACCCCGTGTTGGGTGACTTTTGAGGAAGTATCTTCAGTTTATTTTGTGATGGTTGTAAGATAATTTGACAGTTCTTATGACCCATTCTCTATTCTCCTGCATTTCCAGTCCTACCCATCCATGCTTCATTAATGTGCAGGGTTTTATGTCCCTGTGGAAGGACCTGTCTGGGGACCTTCATGAGCTTGCCTGGTCTGGGCTGAGCACACTTTGTGTTTGCACCTTTGTCACCCATAGTGAGCTGTCATTCTGGACTTGGAAATGTACCACTTTACTGAGACCAAAAGGACGCATGTGCTCTTAGAGTGTTGTGCTCTTAGAAAACAAGTGTACCCTTGGTTATGTAAATAAAGCTAAATAAATTAAATGCATTGAAATTAAATCTTTGAAAAGAATTACTATGAGTTAATGTTTTCAACATTAAATTGCAGTGTCAGTCTTACCCTTAAAGATTATGTTTTTAATGATGCTTTTTTATTTTTATTTTTCCATTTTGGGTACCAGGCCTGAAATTCAGGACTTGTGCTTGCCAGGCAGACACTTGTGTCACTGAGCTGTCTCCCTGGCCCTAAAGATTATTATTTTTTTAATGAAGGAAAAATAGTGGTTGATTTTTAACTCTTCTCAAGACAATGTATATGTTGGAAAGAATGCAAATTTTTCAGCCATATACGTTAGATTTCCAATCCTGATTTTTTAGGTTTATACCTGCAAAATTTTTATCAAATTACTTAAAGTTCCTGAGTCTCAACTTTCCTATTTGTGAAAGTGCAACTAGTATAGTTAACACATAGCTTTTTAAGGAGAATGAAATTAAATAATTAGACAGAACACCTAATTTATTGGCTAACATGGTATGTGTCCAACACGTGGCAGTTATTTTAAATTTTAGGAATAATAGATACCATAATAATAAACAGGGTATGCCATGTATTAATATAGATTTACATATTTCATTAGTCTTTTAAATTCTTTTGTTCTTGTATAAAAACAAAAAAAAAGCGCTAAAGAAAGTGCTATCTTTAATGTCATGTTTTTCTGCATTTCACTAATTAGGCATTTCTCTGGCTCTAATTTTTCACTGGCAAAATAAAAACAGGAAATAATATTTATGGCTCAATGCATTTTGCTGCCCTCTTCCTAAAATGACCTTTGATATTCAACCACACGGTGTAGCAGATGTGCAATGGTCATTTTGTAGAACCCTCAGGCTTCCATTGGGTTTGTGGACCTTCTGTGCTTCATTGGATTCCGTCCTTGGAGGCAGAAAGGAAACACTCAGGAGCTCAGTGGTGTTTTAGAACTGTTTGCACCGGGGACGATCCCCAGGGAATGTGTAATAGTACATCAGAGCGGTAAATGGGGCGGGCTTCCTGAGAAGCATCAGGTTTTTAGGTGTAATTCAATAAAATCCAAGTCTGGGACCTAATGCCTAATAAGCTCTTTGAAAGGTTCTACTGTGGCTGCTTTGGTGACAAGGAGAGGCACTTTTCATCAATATTCAGAGCAGTCAGCGCCATGCTCTGCTGCCCAGCCGGTGGAGACCCACTAGCACACAGCTGGCTCCTGCATCACCTCGTTGAGCTCTCCTTAGTGAGGCGCAATGGCTTTCTTTCTGTCTTCCTTGGGGATTGTAGCCCACAAGAGACATTAAATAAAGACCTGAGCTAGTTAGTGCCTGGACAGTGGCCCAGGTCACTGTGTGCTTTCCAAGACTAGAATTTCTGGTAATTCCACAATCCTCAGATTATTTAGTTGATTGTTTTTCTGCTCTGTGTTGTTATTTGAGTAGAATAATTCATGGCTGTAACTGTATGGAAACAAGGTCTCTGAGAGCCTGTGAGCGTGCCTCTTAACTCCAACTCCCCAGTCCACTGGCTTTCTCACTTGAGTAATGTGAGCCCTAAATTGCAATGTTAACTTGAGAAAATGGTACATGGAGTGAGAACGGCTGGCTTAGAACAACGGAACATGGCTGGGAAGATGATTGGGTAGCTGGCCTCCATCAGTGATGTGCAGGGGTTTTTCCCACTACACTTTAAGTGGTGCAAGAACAGTTCAATGCTTAACCAAAGTGAGCATTCTTTACTTGGTGAACAGACTCATTCAGTTGCCTGGTACTGATTTTTATGTTAGGTGCTAGTCTTGGGGGTTACGGTGGTGAGCAGAAGCGGAAGGTGTACCAGGAAACACAACTACAAAGTGACTGAGAGGACATACTTGACCTTTCTTTCAAAGAGGCTCAAAGTCTAGCGAGGTGCTGGGGGGGTGGGGGGGTAGGTAAACAAGTCAGTGCAATTAAACAGCTTGGTAAAAGTGGATGAACAATCATTGGCCCTGAACAGGAAGGCAGGAGAGAGCACGTAGCTGGGTCTCTCGAGGGTGATAAGCTGGGGTTGGCAAGAAAGCAAGAATGGGAAGAGAAAGCATTGTAAGTTCCTTGCTATGCTTAGCGAGCCTCAGCACCCCTGATCTCCCGCACCTCCTCACACACTGTGTGAAGGAGACTTACCTGTCTGGTCTGCTCACCTCTGTCCTTACTACCATGCCCAGCACTCAAGAAAAACCTAAGAACTGTTCATTAGAATCAAGGGTGGAACAATAGGTTCTGGGCAGGGCGCCAAGCCTGAGATAAGAGCCCGTGTGTGTGTGTGTGTGTGTGTGTGTGTGTGTGTGTGTGTGTGTTCCTCATATACAGGGATTTGTGTCTCTGTTAATGTGTCTCAGAGGCAGAAGTGGACAGCACTGCCTACTTAGCAGGCAACAGAAGCCGATCCAGCATAGGTCTCATCCTGAACACACCACACTCACATCTCAGGTCACTGCCCTCTTGTCAGGCCTCCCTACAGAGCTATACCAAGCTGACTTCTCCACCAGCTCAGCCCCTCCCTGACACTATGCATGGCATGAAAGGATCTGAATAGGGGACCTTTAGTGATCAAATTGTAAAAGCTAGCAAGTACTTCGTATCTGATTGCCCCTGTGAGCTATATGTGCAACATTTCAAATTAGCCACAAACATGTCTGTACAGGTGCACACACACAGATCCATAGCACATAGCTACAGAAGGGTCACTGACTTACACCTAGTAGCCTTCTCTGAGAGTCTTCCCTTGGCAACTGATGTTGCGAACAATAGAGGTTTTCACTCAGTGTATGTGTAATGAGCCAGATGCTTGTGTCCCGGCAAAATGTGTGCATTGAAGACGAACTTCAGTGCTGTAAGTATAGGAAGTGGAGCCTTCAGGGCTGGACTTAGTGAGTGCCCCTATAAGAAAGTCCCGAGAGAGCTACAAACATCTGTGCACCCGGAAGCTGCCCTCAGTGTGACCTGGAGCCAGGAGGACCTTGACCCTGGGCTTCTAACCACCGGAAGGATGAGAGTAAGTGCTTGCTGTTTAAGCCACCCCATGTTCAGCATTTGGGTTCTAGAGCCCAAGCTGACCAGCACAATGGACCAGTTACTTGTATCCTCTATGACTACACTAAGTCAATTCCAGTTAATTCTGTGGTCAGTGCAAATATTTGCCAAGAGAAAGAACAACAGCAAATGGGTGTAAGTCCTCTATTGTTGCTGGTAATCAAAATCCCTTCTTCATCTTTTTCTCCTGTGGGACCTTCTTCTTCTTCCTTTTAATTATTACAGGGTTTTTTCCCCTCAAAGGAAATAATTTCATTCCATTAAGAAAGAATTGGGGTTGATGAGATGGCTCAGTGGTCTAAAGCACCTACTTGGAACAAGCTTAGCAAAGCACAGGGACCACGGTTCAATCCCCCAGCACCACATGCCAGCCAGCCCCGCCCCCTGGTGGGCTGAGCTGGCCACACACACACACACACACACACACACACACACAAATAAATAAATAAAAATTAAAAAAAAGAAAGAATTAGTTGTTTATCTTTATAAAAATCCTGAATTAAGAATAATGAGTCACTTTAAAGCAGGACATTTGAACAGAATAACCTATCTGGTTAGAGGTCAAATGGCTCAACTAGAAAGTTTGAGGTGGTAAAATTATGAGTCCATTTCACATGTGAGGTTTTTACAGATTACAGACAACGTGTCAGGGAGCTGTTCTCTCATTGCATCCGGGTCTGTTTGCAGAATGTACGGGTTGCACTCACCGGGGGAATGGGGAATGTATAGCTCATATCTTGCCCACTTTCTTCCCTTGCCCAGCAGATTTGCTGAGTTTCGCTTCAGGGTGAATAAAAGGTGGGAGAACATTAATTGGACAACACTCTGCATGTGTCTATCCCTGTGCCACAGGCCCCCTCCATCCCTACCTGCCCACCTAGTCCTGGGGAGCTCCTTCCCCGTGCCTTGCCTCCACGCTGCATTTAGTGTAATGGGAAATAGGTCTCCGAATCATGGGTAATGTGACACCAATACAAATAGGTGTGCGACGTGGTTTGAAGCACAAGCCTTTATAAAAGT